TTCTCAGGATCAGACAATTTTAACCAATCTGAAATATTTACTGATTCAAGCGGTTTCACAAAATCAGAATTCTTTTCAAGTTCAATGAAATTTTCAGAAACTTTTTACTTTTCAGAATCAAAGGAATTTGATCCTTCATCCATATTCTCAGGTTCAGATCATTTTAAACCATCTGATATGTTTAATGATTCGAACAGTTTCACAAAATCAATTTATTTTTCAAATTCGAATAAGTTCACTAAAACAGATAACTTCAAGAATACAGATTACTTCACAAATTCAAATAATTTCACTGACTCAAATTACTTTACTCTTTCGTCAACATTATTGAAAAAAAGTAATGTTTTAATCAACATAAAGACAGATAACAAGTCATCAACAGCAGGAATGAAAATTGGTGTTGGTATTTCTTTTGGAGCTCTGGGCATAGCAGCTATTATAATTGGATTAATTATATTAAGAAGAAGAAAATTAACTCCAGTTGAAGATATAAATGAAGAATCAGTTACAATTTGTGAAGATATAATGAGCTCAACAATCACTCAAAATCCTCTTGCAAATATGCTTGATACTGATGATCCATTTGAAGATGAATTCGACTAATGATTATTCTTAAAAAGTATTTTATGTTATCATAAACATTAGCCGAAGTATGAGCGCCAATATTTTAAAAACAACTTGTTTTAGATTAAGTCATTTTACAACTAATAAAAATAATATATCTTTTCTTAATTCGTCATTTATATCACCGAATTTTTTTTTTTAAATATCTCTTTGTTTTATGATCAACACAATATTGATTTGTGCAGTTGACACATTCATGCTTGTTTGGATCAAATCCTTGCTTGTTGCTACAAATGCATTTCAATGTCTAAGAATAAAAGTCAATTCCATTTACATTTGAGCAAAGACCACAAATTCATGATGATTGGTCAACGCATTCTCCTTCTCTACAAGTTCTACAACAGCCACTTGATGCATCAATGCCTTGGCCATCTTTTTTCCTGTTTGAGCGACTGGTTGTAGGATTTTTTTATTGAAATTGGAGCCAGGCCTTTAATGAGCGAAAAATATCTGAGAATTCTCATTAAAATGATTGATTTTTGTAAATCATTAAATATCATATTTTTAAACATTTTATAGTTTAGGCAGCATTTTTATTCAATAAAAAATTAGAAAGTTAAATATATATTTACTTATTCAATAAATGATGTTGATGAGTTCTTTTCATCATTTATAAAGCATATATTATTATTTTCTTCAAATATATCAAAATCCAATTGTTGATCAAACATAAAATCAATGTAATCAGCTTTTAAATCAACAAATGCATAATTGGCATCAGTTTTTTGTTTTGGAGCTTGAAAATAATGATTCAAAAAAAAATCATTATTTTGATTTTCATTGGATGCCGTATTAAATGAAGATTGTATCATTGCTGATTTTGTTACTTTAATATGGTCTTTGATTGGATCTTTTGTTTTTTCATCTTTAAATAGATTATCATTTTCTTTGATTCTATTTTTGTTATTAATATCGTAGCAACTAAAGTTTCCATCATTTCCTCTCCAAATTATATAAGAATAATGCAAATAATGGTTCGTAGGCCTTCCTCTTTTCATAAGGAATAGAGAAAAATGTTATTGAAACAGCACACTTTTCTTTGAAAAAGATCTTTGGAAAATTTTATAAAATTCTATGGAAATTTCCAAAAAAAAAAAAAAAAAAAAAAAAAAAAGATTTGAAATAATGAATAACTTACTTAATTTCCAAAACGGAATCTCTATTAGGGAAATCTATAATTTCCTTTTTTTTTTTTGCATATAATTTTTTTTTAATATGCTTTTTTTTGCTCTTTTTTTTAATAAATTTACGATTATTTTCAATTGAAAAAGTTTTCAAAAAAGTGGGGGCTAAAAAACACATTTTAACATTTTTTCCCCCAATTTTCCTTTCAATTTTTGGGGGCTAAAAAAAGTTCCCCTTAAATTAAAGTTTTGAGCATTTTAACAAAAAAAGTTGATGATAATTGACCTTATTTTTTTACAAATGGTCAAATATGATCGATAATTAAATTCAAAAAGTGGAATTTAAAAAGTAAACGGGCTGACCTTTTATTATGGTTTTTTATTTTAATTCATTAAAGTAGTTTTTTAAACGGATTCTTTGATAACCACATGTCCATGCGATTTTGCTTCTTTTCTCTTTTTTTCAATTGCTTCTGCTTCCCTCTTTTTTTTTTCTTTGTCTTCCTCACGAATTATCCAACCAATTTCCGGTTTAATACTGCGTGTTTCGGGGTCCTGAGATGTTCCAACAAATCCAGCGACAAATTCGCAGTCAGTTGTTTTGTCCATAAATGTTAATTTGAATGGAATTGTCAACATTTCGCTTGTCAAGTCATCATCGTTATCAGAAACTTTCCCACAAACTCTTTTGCCATATATGTTATATAAGAAAAACTTTACGAACCAGCCATCAACATATCCTGGTCTGTATGCTCCTCTACTTGGCTGTATATGTATCATATTATTCCAAAATTCTTTATCAACTTTTCCTTCCTTTGATTCAACAATTTTGGTTAGAATTGGTGTTAACTCATTAACCCAATCATCGAGATCAAACTTTCGTAGTTTTTCTAACTTTTCAATAATTTGTTGCCAGTCTGCAGTAGAACCTTCAATTATGATATAAGGAAAATGACAGATGCACATGATAACATGATATGAAAAATATTTTTTCATTGCGCACATTATGCTTAATTGACCGACGGCTTTTGTAACGTTTGTTGTCGTTGTGAATTTGGGCTCAAGAGTTTCAGTAATTTCCTCTCCTGTGTATGTTTTAATTTGATCTACAAATTCTGAGAAAATTCCATTCCAATCTTCTTCTTTGGCAGTTTGTGGAGTCATGTCTTCTCTTTTAACAGTAAGTTCTCGTTTCCCTTCGAAGTTAACAAACATTGATCGAAGCTTTTCTGCATTATTGTTTACATGATTAGCAAAGCCTTGAATAATTAATAACCAAAAAATGTCTGGAGATATTGTAATTGGCCTATGCTCTTTAAAAGCGGTAACATATCCATTGAAAACGCAATGCTCTTTGGAAAGCTCAATTTTTTCGTCTGGTTTCATTGAATAAGCATATATTTTATTACCGTATATATAATTAATTGCGTCTATGCTCTGAGAAATAGGATCAATCTGTTTTAAAGATAAATTTTCCTTATCCCTGTTAAGTTCAATTAATGTCATTTTATCTTTTAAAAATTTTGTTATGAAAAAGTTTAAATTTTTTTTTATTAATTTTCAAAATAAATGAACCAGCCATCAACATATCTTTTGCCATATATGTTATATAAGAAAAACTTTACGAACATATCTGTTTTATAACTTTTTGAGTATTTTACAAAACTCAAAAAGTGATACCTAAATAATTGTATATAAATCTATATCTCAATGATTTTTAAAGTATAAAGGTTTTTTTTTTTAAAAAAAAATCTTTTTTGATGCTTTTTATATATTTTGTGAAAGTAATGCTTACAGTTTATTAAAAGTTTAATTAATTAAAGATTAATTTTTTTTTTTTTTTTTTTTTTTTTTTATTTTTTAAAATATCGGGTTTTCACCCAGTTCTTCACTGGTTGTATCAAATTCTAAGACTTCTTCAAAACGACTAAGTAAATCATCCATTTTTTCAGTAAGTTCGAGAGGTGTAATAGTTGAGCATTCGTTTGTTAGTTTGCAAAAATAATATGTAAAAATTCCATGGGATCTTTTATTTTGTTTGTTATCGCATAAACTACTTTTTCGAACATAAAACGAAATCACATTTTTGGCCCCTTTTATATCAAAAACAGAGCCACCGTTTAAACTATCAGTAATAAACATAACACGTGCTTTGCCGTTGCAATTTGAAACGATTACATCATTAAGCGAACTTTTTGTTAATAATGTATCTGAAAAATCGATTCCTTCACCATTTTTATTCTTTCCTGAATAGAATATTGTTAATGCATCAGAAGTATTATCCAGAAAGTACCAAATAAAAGAAATAAATTCTAGATATAAAGCATTATATAGGTAGTATACTTTGTAGCCCATTTTTTTATGATTTAGCGCAATAAGATAACCATCATTTATTGGCCCAACTCCTAATTCCTTGTCACAATCATTAATTAAAATAAAACATACTTTATCCAGATCAGTTTTTGGAATATCAGTTATATCTCGGTCATTTAAACACAATCCAATTTTCCCTAATGATTTAAGCATTATTTTTCTCGTTGAATCTTTTCTGATTTTATGAAATTTTTTACTGGTAAATTGATTATCTTTCTGATCTAGCTTTTCTGTTTTATGCTCGTATTTCGGATCTTCTTGCTTTTTTAATAAATGCAACATATGTGGCAAGCGTAAAATTGAACTAAAAATGAAATAAGAAATTAATTCAAAATCCTAAATGATATCATTCAATTTGATACTGAAAATTCAATGATACTCAAACTATCTTCTTAAATTGAGAAAAAATTTTATCAAAAGTTTTATATAAGATAGAATATCTTTCAATTTTCATCTTTGATTTTACAATCAAAATATCTTATTTAAAAAAAGAATAAAAAAATAAAAACCAGATATAATATTATTTAAACAAATAGAAAAATACTTTTCATTAATTTAAAATATATTTATTTTATTTATTTGATCAGTCTTCTCAACTTTTCATATAAACAATCTATTATTTATTAGATTTGTCTTCGTCAAGTGAACTTATTCTTGAAGAATGACATATACATATTGAAATTGATGATTACAACATTGAATATTTGAGCTGATCAGAAGTCGAATTCCATTATTCATTAATAAAAGAAAATGCTGAAGCTCTTATTAAGCTGTTTCTTTTAATGGAGAGGAGGTATTTCAAAATAATTTAATTAAAGAATTTGGTGAAAATTTAAAATACCAAAATTCTTTTTTCACCAAATTCTTTAAAAAAAAATTGGGGCGATACGGGAATTGAACCCGAGGCCTATCGCACACAAAGCTAGAATCATACAATTAGACCAATCACCCTTCGGGATCATTCAATAAATGAATAGATCAAAAAACATTATTTTATTACTTTTTATGAATTCAAAAATTCTAAACCTGACGCTAGAAAATTCAATTAATATAAAATAAATCATTTCATTTATCCACTTTTTCAATTTACAAATAATTAGTTGGTATATAATCTTTTGATGCAATCCGAATCGATAGTTGATCTTAAAGAATATAAAATAATAGGAATTCTAGGCTCTGGATCTTTTGGTCATCTATATTTAGTCGAAAATGTGAGCACTCATCAAAAATATACAGCTAAAGTTAGCCATAAAGAATTTACAAACGAAGTAGACCAAGTTTATTTTTCAACATTAATGAATAGTTATTCAAAACTAGAAAATTCAGCGATTACAAAATTACAAGGTTTCAATATCGTTAACTTTTTCGATGAAAACAATTTCACAATTATTACCGATTACTTCCCAAAAGGATCATTAAATCAAGTCTTTGCCACAGAAAGAAAATTATTTACGATTACAAAAAGATATCTTAATTTATTAGGAATTGCTCTTGGAATGCAATATCTACACTCCAAAGATATTATACATGGCGACCTAAATCCGAACAACATTATTCTTGATGAACGAAATTACCCACATATTACCGATTATGGTCTTTCAAAGTTTTCGAAGAAAGGTCTAACAGATCTAGATTCCCCAGTTTATTCAGCTCCCGAAATATTAGAAGACAAAGAATTTGATAACAAAGCAGATGTTTATTCATATTCAATGGTTGCCTACAAGATATTTACAGGTTTAGATCCATTTGTTGAAGGTCCACATTACATGCAAATATCGAATATCCTGAAAGGCAAGCGTCCCGATCTTTCCCTGATCAAAGATAAGAACTGGAAAAACTTTTTCCAAAAGTGCTGGTCAAAAAATCCTAAAGAACGACCAACATTTGACCAAATCATTCAAAATTTGACTGATCCAACATATTACTCGTTAATAAAAATAAAGTTCCCAGTTGTTGCCCACTACCTCAAGAACTACTACCCGCAATGGAGTCAAACGGAAATTCAGAAGGAGCCGTTTGAATTTAACGTCTTTTTGCTTGGAAATAACAATTCAGGGAAGTCAGCCCTTCTTGAAGTCATGAAGAACATCGCGGCTAACCATCCGCAGCCACAGACGACACCAGCTATTGTCAACGATAAAATAACCGTCAAAACTGAATTTGGTGATGTGAACATCTCAATTTTTGATGCACCAGGAAGCGAGTCAACTAACCGTGTCCTTTCAAAGTACCTCAACGTTGCACACGCAGCGATCGTCTTCACAGACATAAGCGTCCATGACGATTATAAAGAGACACAAAAGTGGATCAAATTGGTCAAAGAAAATTCTAACTCTTATGACGCAAATATTTATCTGACAGCTACGAAGTCCGACCTTCAGTGGGAAAATAAAAAGGAAGACATTGAATCTTTCGCATCCTCAAATAAAATGTGTGGACTCTTTGTGACTTCATGGGACGATAGAGATTCCATTGTTTCGATGTTCGAAAAAATCGCTACTGATTTGATCGTGAAATATCCAGATGGGAATGAAAAATCTTTTGAATAATTTAATAAATAATTATTGATTACCTTTTTTATTTATCTTTTTTGCATGCAGTAGTAATTGCGTTTCAATTCTAATATATGATGATTTTATAAAGAAATATATACTAATTTAAATCACCACAATATTATAAAAGCATGGTGCATTATTTTCAATTGAATGTATATTCACATGAATTTTTTTTTTTTTTTTTTTTTTTAATATTCTAAAGATATTCTAAATATACCAAAAAGATTTCAAATGAATTCATTACCCGTTAATATTCTAAAGATAGTTATTAATATTCAAAATTCACGAGCATGAAAAAAATTTAATTATTGTAAAGCGGTTTGACGATCAAGTGGGCATTTATGGGCAATGTAAAAAAGACTCTTTTGCAATTTTTTGCAATGTGATTCTTAATCATAATAAAAAAACATATGTTGCAAGTGTATATTTTTTAGTATTTTTAATATAATGTAAAGTTTTTGAAATGAATCAATTAGAAAAATTGATATCAATTGATATTAATCAAATTTCGATATCGCCCAGTCCTTCATAAAAAAATTCATTGATAACTGGACGATGATCTATTATTTCAATTTTTTTCTTTCGTGTTTGATTTTCAATTTTGTTTCCATAATAAACAAGATTGATTCCTTTGAGATAATCATATAAACAATCATAATAAATAGATTCCATTAGATTGAGTGATTCGATTTTATGTATGACTTTTTTTGAAAGAATCCAGCTATTTTCATAGTCTATCGTGCGAAAGAAATCATAAATTTTAAAAATGTCCGGTGATTCATATTTCTTGATCACTGCCAAGCATAAAAGATCAAGAGAGTAAATCGTATTTTGGAGAGTTGACTTCACTAATAATTCAATCGCTTTATCAAGATTCGAAATTCCTGCTTCTTCATAGAAATAAATGTGTGCAAGATTGAACATCGCAACTTTGTCACTTTTTTGGCGAATGGCTTCTTCAAAGTAAACAATTGAGCCAGAAGGATTTGCTTCGACTCCCTGACCTGTTTTATATATAATTCCAAGATTGTTTTTCGCATACTGGTTGTTGAAGCACGACACTTCTTTGAAGTAATGAATTGCTTTTTCGATATCATAATTAGTAATCAATCCTTCATAATAAATGCATCCAAGAACAAACTGCGAATTCCGATTATCTTGATTTGCAGCAAGTTGCAAATAATAAATTGATTTATTGATATCACGTGTGATATATTTGCCTTCACAATAAGTAATACCAAGTAAAAGTTGCGCATCTGAATTATTTTGATTTGCTGAGAGTGTCAAATAATGAATTGATTTATTGATATCTCTTGTGATATATTTACCAAAATAATACATAACTCCAAGTTCATATCGTGCATATGGATTATTTTGATTTGATGAAAGTGTAAAATAATGAATTGATTTTTTGATATCTCTTGTGATATATTCACATTCAAGATAAATAACTCCTAGTAAAAGTTGTGCATATGAATCATTTTGATTTGCAGCAAGTGTCAAATAATGAATTGATTTACTGATATCTCTTGTGATATATTCACCAAAATAATACATAACTCCAAGTTCATATTGTGCATTTGTGTAATTTTGGTTTGCTGAGAGTGTCAAATAATGAATTGATTTATTGATATCTCGTTCTATGTATTTACCTTCATAATAAATAATTCCAAGTTCATATTGTGCATCTGAATTATTTTTATTTGAAGCAAGTGTCAAATAATGAATTGATTTACTGATATCTCTTGTGATATATTCACCAAAATAATACATAACTCCAAGTTTATATTGTGCATTTGTGTAATTTTGGTTTGCTGAGAGTGTCAAATAATGAATTGATTTATTGATATCTCGTTCTATGTATTTACCTTCATAATAAATAATTCCAAGTTCATATTGTGCATCTGAATTATTTTTATTTGAAGCAAGTGTCAAATAATGAATTGATTTATTGATATCTCGTGTGATATATTTACCTTCATAATAAACAATTCCAAGTTTATATTGTGCATTTGCGTAATTTTGGTTTGCTGAGAGTGTCAAATAATGAATTGATTTATTGATATCTCGTTCTATGTATTTACCTTCATAATAAATAATTCCAAGTTTATATTGTGCATTTGCGTAATTTTGATTTGCTAATAGCGTAAAATAATGAATTGATTTATTGATATCTCGTTCTATGTATTTACCTTCATAATAAATAATTCCAAGTTTATATTGTGCATTTGCGTAATTTTGGTTTGCTGAGAGTGTCAAATAATGAATTGATTTATTGATATCTCGTTCTATATATTTACCTTCATAATAAATAATTCCAAGATTAAACTGCGCATATGAATCATTTTGATTTGCTGCAAGTTGCAAATAATGAATTGATTTCTTGATATCTTGTTTGATATGTTTATTTTCATAATAAATAACTCCAAGTTTAAATTGTGCTTTTGGATCATTTTGGTTTGCTGAGAGTATCAAATAATGAATTGATTTTTTGATATCTTGTGCGATATGTTTACCTTCATAATAAATAACTCCAAGTAAATATTGTGCTTTTGGATCATTTTGATTTGCTGCAAGTTGCAAATAATGAATTGATTTGTTGATATTTAATGTGCCATATTCTCCTTCATAATAAAAAAATCCTAGAAAAAGTTGTGCTTTTGTGTAATTTTGGTTTGCTGAGAGTGTCAAATAATGAATTGATTTATTGATATCTCGTTCTATGTATTTACCTTCATAATACATAACTCCAAGTTCATATTGTGCATATGGATTATTTTGATTTGATGAAAGTGTAAAATAATGAATTGATTTATTTATTTCTCTTGTGATATATTTACTTTCACAATAAATGGCTCCAAGTAAACATTGTGCATATGAATTATTTTGATTTGATGCAAATGTAAAATAATGAATTGATTTGTTGATATCTCGTTCTATGTATTTACCTGAATAATAAATAATCCCAAGTCCTATTTGTGCATAAGAATTATTTTGATTTGCTGCCAGAGTAAAATAATAAATTGCTTTATCTATGTTTTGCATGCAGTTTGACCCATGTAAGAAAGCAATTCCATAATTATAAAAATCATTCTTTAAAAAACTTTCTACCGATTTTTCTGATTCGTCTATAATATCTACATGATCATTTGCGTTATTTTGATTTGGTTTTTCACCTGTAATTAAGTAATGATCTATACCACTTAATGACTTAACATCATCTTCATATGAATATTTTTGGTTTGTAAAATATTCTTGTGATAAAAATTCACTGTTCAAATTTTCTGTTTTTTGTTCGATCAAAATCGATAAGAATTCCATTCTTGTTCACATCAATAATAATGTTGTCCAGTTTAAAATCACGATACACATGCTCTTTCGAGTGAAAGTATTTAA